TTAAAAATGACTACACAAACATCGGTGTATAATAACACTTTATATTTGATAACATTTCTTACATCTCCGCGACATTTACTTACAATTATTTTACTTACTAATAGGGTGATATAGGTACCTATCTTTAGATAGCAGGAGTATATAACACGTTTTTACATAATTTATTACAGTAGTATGTTTAATTATTGTGAATATGATAAATCATATTGTAAAGATTCTTGAGTAAATGCCAGAGAGTGTAGTAATTCTCAGCCTTTCACAATTGTTCTTGTAGATACACTGAAACCATTAAAAACGTATTTTCCTGAATATTCTAGAGGGGACCGGCTATGAACGATCTGCCTTGTCGAGACGAATCGAAAGAACACTTCTGTAGGTGCTGGAAGTCACTCAAAATGCTTTTTAGTTTCTTAAATGACCCCTCCCCGAAAAAACAACCAATTTTTGAAGAAGTATCTTATAATCTTGTGAATGTATTTGTAAAAAAAATATGTTCCCCGTCGGTAGAGATGGTAGAATTTATCGCTTTAAATTTTAAAAGATTTCATTCTGAAAATAAGGCTATAACATTATAAAAATTAAAATTTAGCATTTTGAAACATTTGTTGAGAAAATTATTATTAAAGGAGGAATTTTTGTGATAAAAAATTATTTTGATACATTTACGTTTTCCGATTAAAATCAGGAAATAAGGGAAACTAATTTAATATTTCGCAATTTGTGAACTTCAACAAATATAAAAGTGTAAGAAGCGTAAGAAATAACGCTTGCGGCATGCAGCGAACTGAGGGGACTGAGACCCTTTTGAGATGACCGTGGCCGTTCAGTAATTCAGAATCACTTTTTTTTAATTGTTATTCTTATTTTACTTTGCGTATTCAGTTAAATCCTAATTAAACATTAATACACATCGCCACTTAGATTAAATGGTTTCAAACATTGATGTGTCATTGTCGATGTCGCATCCCTAGTTAGAGAGCAAACACGAAGGAAACCATAAAATGCAATACAGCATTAATTTTGCAGATTCACGACCATTTCGCACTTTGTACGTGATTTTGCATTTGGCGACCGATTTCCCATTTTATCGCAGATTGAAAACCTTCAGAAATATACTGCACCGACCATCAAACATATAATTACTATTTTTTTTAGCATTTGGTAACATTCCGCATTTTAATCAGAGTTCAATAATCTACCATCTCCACCCATTATGAGACCGTCACGCGTCGAATGACACCTCATTTGTTATGATTGGTAGGCGGAAACGGGTCTTACGGAGAGTGGTTGACGGCCGCAAGTTACTCGATTACTACGTAAGAATTACTACGTAAGGATTACTGTATTTAATTACTAGTGCGCCACAGCAGCAAAAATATTGCTGTCGAATGCGTGGGAAATGGAGTCCTGAGCAACAAAAATTATCTGTTCTAAAATATCAGACGTGAATGCTGAAACTTCTTTCTTCCTTGTCACATAATTCCAGCGGTGCTGTCAGCAGTGAGACACTGAGTATGGCAATATAGTAAAACTGATATGAGAAATTGCGGATCAACATAATGAAATATTTGAAATTTTCAGTCAAACATCGAAACTCTTTCATTTTTTTTGTATTTTTCCAGTTTTCCGGTGCATCTAACGAAGCCATTGACTCCTCTCAAGTGGCCAGACTCCGCAGTGTTTCGGGAATTGAAGTAAGTATTTGAAATTAATAATATAGATTATCTTAATTACTCAGTTATTAATTAATTAATAAACACTCATTATTGATGAAGTAATTATTAAGGAATACCTGCATATTCCATCAGTGATGGAATACCCAACTTTGAAGCTCTGTAAACTGGAAATCCTTTTATTTTACGAGATATTTCCTACAGACATTCTTAGTAATTTCTAAAATTTTCTCAAAACATCATTTTAATGTTAAGTGAGTGAAATGTTCTTTGGAACGTAATCGCAATTTCCTATTATAAGTTGCACTTCACAGCGAACTGCTTACAGTATTTTCAAGAAGATACTTTTGTACAATTGGATGTATTAATCGTGATACGTCTTTCATCACAAGTATTTTTATGGACGTTGCATGTGCTAAAATGGTCTCTACTGTATTGAACCAACTTTATTGTTTTTGATACTGATTTACTGCACCATGATTGTTCTGATTTGATGTTTGTGTTTGTTGTTGTTTGTGGTGTTGTTGTTGTTGATGTTGTTGTTTGTGAATAGGATTTTCGAAAGAAGCTTGGTTGCAAAATGATTTGTTATTCTTTGACTTGCCTTCGCTTTTCAATGCCCTGAAAAAATCGGTTTTACTGTACAGAATACTGTTATTCGTACGAAATAGGGTTTCGATGGACCGATAGTGCACAAAAACCCAGATTATTGTCTTCGTAAGTTATGTTAATAGTGTTTATTTATTTTTAGTAATTAACACCACAATTTAAAATATTTTGGCCAATCTTTTCTTTATTAACTTCACTTCACTAACTTATTCACTTCAATCACAACGACAAGTGGCTTCTGTTGAGTAAAAGAGTTAACTCATACTCAACAGAAGCCACTTGTCGTTGTGATTGAAGTGATGGAATTTCGACAACACCGCATTTTTTTCAAATGCACAGTTATTTAAGTTACATTATTATCACAAAGACCTATTGAAATTTTCTGTCGTCGAAACTTGGCTTATGTACTTCTCCATATATGTATACCTGAGTAAATTTATATAAAACGTTCAGAGTTTCCCATTAATTGCGTAAAAAATATTTTAGGTACTTTTTAACCTAATTCCAAGAGGATTTGTCGCGAATAAGTATTGGAAGGGTATAACATTTCCGGCATTTAAATAACTCTGCGACCATACGCTAGATGAAAATGTTCGTTACTTCGACAAAAGGAATGTTGTAGGGAGGGAAATATCGAAACTTTTATGATATTTTATTATTAAAAAATCAACTTCGAAAATACATAAATATTTATTTGTTTCATGAAATATATCATTGAAATGCTCTTTAATTGAATACCTAACTGTGTATCGAAGTTTTCATACATCGGATTACATCCAAGGAAATTGCAATTTCAAAATCCGCAGACCCCACAATGAAGTTTAAAAACACGGGAGCACTGTGTATTTAAGAAACATTTTGTCGCTCATTCGATAGAAGTCCACACGCGAGAGGGAGGGTGAGTTTGCGCATGCGGTCAGTTGGCAACAATTGGCGCGATGTGCGCGCCATTTTTGCCTGACGCAGCGCAATCACTCCTGCTAATAACATTTGCATGCTCGTAGATTACGTTGTAGCGTCCGCCACCGCTTTCAAACATCCCCTTCCTCTCCGCCCAGCCCATTGTTTCGCCCCCCTGCGAAAAGTGCTTGCTCCAGGCCTCGAACTGGAAGTAACTCAATCAGCGAATGTAGTAGGGCCGTTAGGAGGCATTAAGTAATGTTTGCCATCAGTACTCGCCCCGCAACCTACTCCCCGGGCGCCAGTTCACGGTCAAACGGGTTTATCAATCTTGTTTGCAGTCTTATTTTCTCAAAAATGTGCTCTGCACTACGACCTTAGAGTCTTGAATATGTATGTTCGTGATACCAGAACGTTGTTTGGCTATCAGTGCGAATGGTCTGGATAACCCTTATCCTTTGACATGGATATGATTTATTAATTGACATTACATGAAACTTCCTGATTTTATCTTTTAAAATGAATAAACATTCGGACGCACTACTAAGATGTGTTGAAATCATGCGGTATTGATTTATTTTCTATTTATAAACCACTCATTTTAAGTTGGCTGTTATCTGGAGCAAACAAAGGGAAAGGATTGTTTGTCGAGGAACAATAGGCAAGCGTTGTTACTTCAGAAGACATTTCTTCAGACTATGATAAATATGATTGGACTTATTTCGGAAGAAATACGAAAATGAAACCAAAGAAAAAGCAAAAATTTGAATATTATTATTAGTGATACTCATACCAATGAAAGTTAATTACAGTAAACAAATAGGGTACAATAACCTATGTATTTTGATTTCCACTCTTTAAATGCACTGTATACTGAATCTAAGCAATTATATTTGTAAAGTGATTTTTCCATGAATGTGGACCAAAATGAAATTGAAAGTGTGAAGAAATAAATAAATTTTAATGCTGAGTTGATGAGCATTGAAACTTACGAGTTTAAAAATTGTTAATTTTTAATGTGATACTTATTGCCTGTACGATCAAATAGTTGTGGACCACTTCTAGACAAACATGGTTGAAAATCTTAAAAATAATACACTAATCATTTTTAAGGCAAAACAATGAAAAAGTCAATAGTTATATACAAAAATACAATGTAATTTTATTCGTGTTATTTTTACAAGGTTTCGTCTCAATAAGTTTTGTGAATGCTTTTGGAAATATCAAAATATTTAAACACAAGGTTACCAACTGAATTTTGCATTAGAAATTCTAAATATTATATATATCATAAAAATATAAATATATTTTTCACAGAGATGTAAATTTTCTTAATGTAAGTATTATATTAACGTTTTCAAAAAAGATGTCTGTCTAGAATATGTCTACAATTATTTGGAACATTTGTCAACTTAAGATAGCAAATTGCTGAAAGAACAACAAATTTATTTTTGATAAAGTTTATTCCAATGATTTATGGAGTGAAATTATTTTTATTTTACAAATTATTTAACAACCATAACGTTTAATTCTGCCCTATTCTCTTTCCGTAGTTGAATTCCGGGCAATCAGAACTCAAATAGAAGGAAACACTTGGTTGGTCATAAGAGATAAAACATTTTTAACATTACACACAAATTTCTCAATACAAAATATTTTATTTGTATATGGATTACATTGGAAATACAATACCATTTTCTCCATGGAGATTCACCTCTCTCCGAGTGCAGAAAAGTCAAAGGGTGCCACCCCAGAGCCCCCCAGGGGCCCCGGTGAGGCGTAGAGGGCGAGGGGGGAGGCACACCCGCAATTGGCGTGCTACGCCCCCGTCAGCGCGCCCATCACCGTCACCTCAGCGTCCGCCGTCTCCTCCGCCAACTGCGCCGCCGGTGGGCTCACCGCCTTCATCAACAGCGCCGCCCCCTCCGTGGTGGCCACCAGCACCGCCGCCGCCACCGCCACCGCCATCCCCAGCGCCATCAGCGCCGCCAGCGACACCAGCATCAGCGAGATCACCATCGTCACCAGAGCGATCGTCACAACCCCCACGGCCACCACCATTGGCAGCGCCACCACCACCCTCAGCACCAGCTGCGCCGCCTCCACCATCGCACCACCTCCTGAACCACTGCAACCGCTGCCACCGCTACCGCTGCCTCCTCGGGGACAATGGTCCGCCCGTTTGGCAGTCCCTGCTCGTCCTCGTCGCCGCCGCCGCCGCCGCCGCCGCCGCCGCCACTGTGTGTTTAGACTTGCAAATGCGCGCGCACACAGCTCCACAGCACGGCCGCGTGTGGACACAGTGATTCACTAGGCGCCGGCCTCCGCTGCAGCCCCCATCAGGGAGAACGCCACCGCTAACCCTTCTCGCCCCCACCCGCCCTTCGCCCTCCATCGCCCTCGCCCCCATTGACGCCTCGTTCCAGAGTCGTTGCCTCCGCGTCAGATTCTTCTCTCCGAACTGCTTCTCTTGAAGAGAAGCCGAGATGATCTCGCCTAATGTTGAATTGATCAACTTTGAAACACAATTTTTTAGCATGTTTGCTTTTCAATGTGATACACAGGGCCGGATTAAGTTTGACGTAGGCTAAAAGCACACATTTTCCTAGATCTCAGAAAAAAATAGGACCTTATTAAACTGCAATTATTAAACATTTTGGGATAAAAATAACAGTAATTTAGAGGAATACAGATTCATTCGAAATTTACGACATCTTATGTGATTATAAAATTTGTCCTTTTTTGATTTTTAATTCTTTCGCGCATTTTGAAGATAATTTCCAATAGTTGTGGGTCAGTTCTAGGGAAATATCTGTTTCATAATATTAATCATATTTATTCATTAAACATTTTTAAAAGACGTGTTAATGAAACAGATAATAGCTGTACATAATCTCAGTTTGACTCCGTTTTCACTTGGGACCACTCATCGTAGTTCTTAGCTCCAATTTTGTTTGGAACCGTTATATTTATACAAGTTTCACAATATTACAATTTCTGATATCAAAAAGTTTGTAAGTACTGAGTGAATATTTTCTTACCCAGCTGCCGTAAACTATTGGTATGTTAGTTGGTATTGAAATACGAGCAATCTGTTGTGGTCTGAAAACTGAAGAGTTAAATTACAATCGCACAATCCGTTAGTATGTATTTTTTTCCAAATGGAATAAACGAAACCATTTCCACTCCCTTTCCGTCTAGAAATCAAATTTGCTTCAGAGAAGCGTTTCTAAACGTCAGTTTTTTATTTCCATGAAAACTACTCATGAACGCAATTCAAATTTCTGTCCTTGTTCGTAACATTTTAAATTAAACAAAGTAAACAGTTTTGTGCTGAAAGCAGCAAACTTGTCAAAGTGAGCTCCTTCCGCCCAATAGTGCGTACAACGCAAGCGATGCATGCAGGTGTGACGTCATGGATACTCACAGTGACCACAGACACAGAGCTTTCGTATAACAAATATATTTATTAACAAGAAAACAAAACAAATATATACACTTAATAATCTACTTACACCCTAGCTCTGATAGACCTACTATCCCCTGATCGCGGGAGCGATCCAAACCCGATTGAAGATGGTTTTGATTGTGGCATTCGCCACTTCTACTTTTGAAGCGCGCACAAAGCCTAGCTTCCGTGACCGGATGTCACGCTGGGACACAAAGTCCGTTCTGGCGCACCAACGGCTGGTTTGCCTCGATCGCAGGAGCGATCTTATCCGATTGAGAATCGGCGTGAATCGTGGCACTCAACCACTCTTCACCTCGGAGCACGCACACAGCATCGCTCCCCCGTGACCGCAGTCACCCAAGGACATAAAGTCCGCAGGCTTCGTCAACTAGTGACTCGAGCCTCGCGAGCCTGGCTCGCATATGCACCGTCGTGGCGCCAAGTTTTGTGCACACGCACGAGGTTCTCCCGCTGTCTCCAGAACCCACCCACTGGCTCTGTACACGCTGTTATATAGGCGAGGCCCACGTGACCTACTACGTCACGCCACCCCCTCGCTTGTCATAACAGTGAAAAGCTTCTATAAGCCGGAAACTCCCAAAGCCTTGTGTCTCCCGTTTCCGCGTTCTTCCCTTTACGGAAAAACCCTTCTTCCTGTGGCAAGGCTGATCCTCTGCCAGCGTCCCCAAATAGATGCCACGAGGCACGCTGGCTAATACGTTACACAGGAAATACGGACATGCAGATGAATCTTTGCATTGAAGTCCATGAGCTCATGACAATTGAGTTTTAGTCTATGAAAAACGGAATGAAATTTTTCGTTTCTTTCTATTCGTATTTTTCGTTTTCTTTTCCTTCTTAGTTTCTCTTTCGTCCTGTTCAGACTGTTTTTTTTATTACGTCACCTGCTGTGCTCTCTTTAGTTTTCCCATTAGACTCTGCCTATCAATTTATTGATTATGTCAATTCACTGAAATCTCAATGAACGGTATGCTGTGTAACAAATACGGCTATATTTGCTTTATACACTTGTGACATTAATATCCTTTAAAATTAAAAACAATTATGCATGAAATGGGGGATTTCTCTCTCCCCTAGATTTCGATTTTCTGAAAGAACATTACATCGAAGATTCTCAAAATAGTTTTTAAATACTGAAGAGAACATCAATTTGACTTCCTCTGTTCATTTGCAAATGTATTACATCATACATCCAGTGAAATTATTTTTCTTTTCGTGAGCAAAAACTATACCAAGTTGATAAGTTATAGCCAAATAAAACTCTTGATTGAGCTCTGGCAATCAAATGAAATATGACGTATATTGCGCGTATTGTGTTTTTGTTGACATGCATTTGGGCCCATGAGATATCACATCCGAACCTGATGGATTTTTCAATACACGTGTGTCCATATTGCATATTTCATCCATATGCCTCATCATCTCCATAAATCATTATCTACCAAATGGAAGTTCAAACCTTTTGTCCTTTGTCAGGCAGATAAAGTGAAACAAACATGAATGAGTCAATATCAGGTGTCGCGTGATTTTCAAGTACTTGAATATACTATGTTTTCGAATATGGGTCAACTGCAGATGATCTTGATATTATTCCGAATCGTGATACAGATAAAATAACGTAAATCAGTTACAAATCAGTACATAACTGAATGTTAAGAACATGTTGGAACGTTGACGCTTAGATTTAGATTGATATTATCTTCAGTTCGAAGGAAAATATTGACATTAAATTAAAATTCCAGAAATTTAAATCGCTAAATAGGTTTTACTACATTGTTTCGTACTGGCGCCGCTGAAAATACTGATTGATGTTGGCAATTACCCTGGTTTTGAACTTGATTATTTCTAATATAATCTATTAAACATACAATCAATAATAGTTTTATAAACTAAATTGATTATAATAAAAATTATGCTTTAAAACATGACCAACACAAATATATACAATCTCGGGAAAACGAACGTAACTTATGTAAGGACTTGTGTAGTTACCATAGTGTTACACGCAATTCTGGTCGCTAGTGACCACTTGATACGACCTTAAATAACAAAAATAAATTATGTATGTATGTATTTGGCATTTTAGGGTCGGAGTAATCCGCACATTTTTCCAGCAAGCGTGTTCCAAGATATGGGACCTGTTTTTATTAAAAAAAATATGTTCATGAGCCACGCGAGTGGCAGAAAAATATTTAAATACTTTGTATTTTTAGAAATATTGAGACTTGGCGATTTTGAAACTTTAAAATTAAAATTTAATTTAATCGTATTTCTAGGGTAGGTGCATAGACTACAATGTACTGCGTGCACTTGTTAAAACTTAGTTTTGTAACTTCCTGAGTTTGTAACTTACAATTCAGATTGAAATTACGTAAATTGTCTAAAACTTTCATGAAAATATCTCTCCTTGGGCTATGTTGTCATAATTCCTACAATTATATCACATATTTAATTTTTTGAATAATTCACAAAATTAATTAGTTCAAAACTGTCAATGAAAATAAATTCTAGGCAAGCCTCTGATTTCTTTTCTCATATATTTGGTGCGTATTATCTATCTAATCATTATACTATTACCTTCTATCTTACTATCTATCTACTATACATTATACTATAACCTTTTGACAAGTTTCTGCATCCACAAGCCAAGTCCTAGGGAATTCGCCGCCAGAGGATGGAAGAACCGACCCTAATGCTAAACTCCGTACAGGCGGAACGAAAAGAAATTCCGAACCCGAAAATACCGAGGCCGTCCTTGCTTCGGCTTAAAGAAGCCGAGCTAAAGCAGAGCTCAGCCGTCGTTGTAAAAGGTAACAAGAAGGGGAAGAGACCTTTACATGATCGTTTTAGGGAAATCAAGGCGAAATTAGCATTCGGTCGCTGGGATGGGCCGCTCCGTAATTCGTGCCGGTCCCTGCCCGCCCCACCGCTCTCCGCCCCCCCCCCATGCTTCATTCCCCGCGGACCGCACAGTGGGTCGAATTGACACAATCAAATTTCTTTGTTGTTGTTGATGTTGTTTTGTTGTTTTTGCAAACCATACCCTTTATTATTATCGCGTTACTAACTTAGCGTGGCATCTCCGATGATTTAAACAATTTTAAAAATATGTCTATGTTTATTAATTTGTGGGGATTTTTAGGTAGATTCTAAAGGTACCAAAGATTGTTATTTTCCCAACATCAGTCCGTGTTATGTCGAATGACACCTCGCTTGCCCCCAACGGTGGACTGGAAGGCGTCTGAGCGACAGACAGACAGACAGACAGAAAGAAGGATTCTGTGGTTTAGGATTCTGGTTTCATGTAGTTTAGTTGCTTCTACCAACTCTTTCTGAACTGACTTCGCTTCTGTTCTGAAGGTTTGAATTGCAGACCGCTAGTTTCATTTAATGTCGACACAGTTTCGAACCATTGTTCTCTAGGTATTTCATTGGGTCGGTTACAACTGGAACGTTAAAATGTATCTCCTGTCCCCATTGCTTATCATTAAGTCCTGATAAAGCTCTCAGAAAGTGCATTCGTGATGTGTTTGTCCCTGTCTTGAACTGACGATATATTCAGACAAACGAAGAGTCTAAAATATGTCACGAGGAACATTTATTAAAACCAATACGTAATAAAAAGTTACGAGGTGAT